AAAAAAAATTCATGCCACCAACCGAGATATCTCTCCTATATATACACAGAGCCGATCCATGGAGTTACGTGAAAGCTAGAGAGGGCCCGGGAGTCGTAAATCGTTTTTTCGCTAATTAAACCCCGCACAATCCACCTTTTACGGGCTCGCGGAAATTCGCTAAAATACCCCTTTATATGCGTTTAATCCATAACGAGACACTCTCTCATGAGTGTGTCTATAAGCGAACAATACATAAATAATTCCAGATAATAGATGCATCGGACGGAAAAATCAGACAGCATCGAAGAAGCGTCATATAAGTACAGGCGGACAAAAAAAGCACATCCAACAGTCGAAGCGACGGTGGTTGTACACACGCGGAGAGAAAGAGAGGAACCATAAAAGATGATTGGTAAGTATACATATATACGTATGCGGTGGGATGCACGTAATCACTTTCCCTCTCTCGCGGAGTACAAATAAAAGACAAGAGAGAGAGAGAGAGGCGCATCAAGTGTACTCTACTATATATATACACTTTTCTCTCGTTCAAAGTCCATAGGTATGTACATACACGCAAACTTTCTTCTTTCCCGCAGCACATCGGCATCGGCCTTTATAATTGCACCACATACCGCATCTGCCTTTTCCTTATTCTCTATTTGACTTGGACTCTCACCTCTCCCCCCTTGACTCTCGTGACTCGAGAGAGAGGAAGATTGGATAAGGCGAGTTGCTGCGTCCGTCTGTTGTAACGCTCCGTTTGGGGGAGAATCAGCGATAGACGTGACCTCGGCGGGGGAGGCGGGAGCTCTAACAAGGAGCCTCATTTCTCAGCTTTCTTCCAAACCCCCCCCCCTCCCCCATCCCCACCCGTTGTCTATGTACCCATGCAACAACAACAGCACTCCTGCAGAGGTCTGAGTGCCGTGTGCTCTCTCTGTACCGATGTAATCGGCCCGTGGCTGTGCAAGTCTCGTGTTATGGTAAATTGGACTCCATCACATCACGAGGAGAACAGAGAACGGGGCAGAGAGGGAAAAGGGTTCCTGTCTACCTATACGTATGTATACACCCTCCACCAAACGGGGGACCCATATAGGTACACACAGCAACGCGTGTGTGCTAATGACCCCCCCCCCCTTTTCTCCACCGTATAGACCATATAGTACACTATAGAGCCTCTCCGTGGGGGTATATATGGCTCTCCTCCGAGAAATTCATCTCCTGCTCGGGAGATTCGACTCGGGGCGATAAGGGGGCCCGGGGCTCGGCTCGCTTGTAACTACGGTCAACCCCACCGCGGTGCATGTACTTGGATTGTTCGTTCGACGACCCTTTTTCTTTTCTTTATCAGAGGGCCTTTTCCTCCTCTCTTGTCTTGGGATGGGCTGCCGATGCTGCTCACTTGATGTTACGTTGATACCGTGTACGAGGTATATATACCCGGGCTTCGCTTTGATAAGGAAGGAATGCGCGTTTGACCATTTTTTTTTTTTTCCTCGTCTAATGAAACGTACGCAATGGGATGACGGAGACCTTCCGTTGCCAGTTTGATGTCGTCAAAGTGCAAAGTCGCCTCGTCGGCCGTAATATCCCCATCACGGACTATAAACTCCAACGCGTGTATATATATATCATCGGTGAAACACAGCGCGTGTGTACTTTATTTATTATACATGCAGCTCTGGTGTTGCGAAAAATCGTTAGGGTGTAGTCCATCCTAGGTATAGATACATATACATCTTGATGTACGAAGGATGGGACTAAGTATAGCACATGTAAATTGTGTCTGCTCATCAAACTCCCGTGCACGTAGATATATATATATATATATATAGGATATGTTGACTTGTATGTTGATGATGATTTCGAGCGCGTGTAAATGCAGATGCGATATGCCGATCGAACATCTATATGCATATATACACGTATATGTTATTTAAATTAACACTGGTATTTAAATATTGGAGCTGCTGCTGTCGCGCATAAAATGTATGTGCATCTTGTTCAGCGTCTTCTCTTTCTGCTGGCGTGTATATCTATACACTACAACTCAATATACCTTGTGGGCATACGCTCTTCCTTTAAAGATGTATGGTAAAACAAAAAAAACAAAAAAAAAGATAAAGAGAGATGTGTACAGGTATAGCATGTTTGGCGGGCCCAAACGTCTTTTAAAGCGCTTGCCTGTATGGATATGGATATAGGTACGAATTAAATAAGTACATACACCATATATTATTATCACAACGTATACGGCCGTACGTGTATTACAAGCGAATCCCGTACCCTCCCGATTTTCCAATTAAGTTTTTTGCCGACGTCCCCTGCACAGTCGTCGTACATTATTCCGAGAGAAAGAGCCCCGAAGATGATAATTAAGCCTTCACTTATCGAAGTTATTATGTAAAATGACGTGCTCGATAGCGTTTTGTAGAAAATATTGTTATTGTTGTTGCCCCTTCTATACGTTACTTGCAAGTATACTGTTACATGTATAATGTGTATGGATATGTATAAACATGTTACAGAGTCGAACGATAAACGAGATCGAATGATCTTTTAATTAATGAGTTTATTGTTCGGTGCACATGAGTAACACACATACCTATAAATATAGGAAGCAACGAATTTTCTCACGTGCACTTACTCATATCGAGATTGGCTAATGTTCGAACCGCTGGTGAGGTATCAGTTGAATAATCAAACGTGCACCTTTTGATTACCTATCGCGATATTGTCGAAAAAAAAAACAAAAAAAAAAAAAAAAAACCTTATCGATCGACGAGGTAAGTATAAGCATCATTTTTATCGATAACCTAATTCACGAGAGCATCGGGTTTGTTTGTTTGTACAATATGAACAATGGTATGTGATGAAACAGATACATTTTTTGGCTTTAAAACCAAAGCTTACGAAACGACACATACAGTCATGACTCGCGACACTAGAGGTATAATAATATATAGGTACCTAAATCGTGTCAAAAGTGTTACTTTCAAAAATCCTACATATACCCACACTCCGACCCTACTCGAGCGACTGACATATAGTATAATATTGTGAAGCACTTAAGCACGCGTCAACTCGTGTGAGTAATAAGAGCCTACAGGGGGAAAAAGGGGCATCTCAATCAAAATCACTTAGACAAAAACGCTTGCACAAGTCGAATTCCCATCCACGGGTCCCAAAACCCCCCCCCAAAACCACTGTACATATACATATCACACAAATCCTTGAGATGACCAACAGCCGAGACGCGTGTAAATATACCTTCCTTTTCCTTGTAATTCGATACGGATAAGTAAAAGTAAAAATGGCAAGTTTAAGCTATACGGTACAAATACCTATACACCCGGAGGAGCAATTGGAGAATCAGCAACTCGCGACTCAAAGCGTAGAAGGAGGGGGGGGGGGGTGAGAGAAAAAACTTTCAAACTGAACAGTAGCCAGTGGAGCTTCATCATCGTCGTCGTCATCGTTTGTCGTTCATCGCACGTCGCGGGTTACGAAGGACTACGAAAAATCAGCAGCATCGCAATTGGGGGGGGGGGCGTTTTTACGACTCTCTTCCGCGGCCGTTCGCATGGATAACGTCACGAGGGGAAAAGACGCGCGCCACGAGTGTGTGCTCATATTATACGAAGCTTCGACTCTAATTATTTTACAAGCGCCGATGAAAAACAACCTCGAATCGTTTAATTTATATACGACGCGAAACGCGCGTGGGGCGATCGATAAATTCTCCCCCCCCCCCTTCTCCTGCCCTTTGGATGGTGATTAAAAAGGACGTGTATATAATATCGATCATACGCGCGTCATGGGGTTTTATCATTTATTTTCTCAATTGCTCGGCACCACCGGTTGCTTATGCTGTACATACCTATTCTTCGATTTTCCCTTGCCATATTATGCGGTGGCAGTACAACATCGGTAGCAGCGGACGCTCAGCGGGGGTAAACTCGTATTTGTGTATACCCGAGCCTGTCTCATTCGCGCGAGTACGAAGTAAACGAAGATAAAGGCACACACAACATCCTCTCCATACTCTCTTTCTCCCCACTGATGCACACGCATTAGCCATTGTAGTCGCGAGACGTATATCGCGTCGGTGGATCGGAGATGCGTGGGCAATTTGATCCCTCCCCCGTGTGTATATGCTGTACATGAAGCAGTGGAAAAGGAAGATTTACGTGAAGGCGGTGGTAGGAGGAGCTGATGTGCACTTATATATATATGTATAAGCTGTAACAGTCGCTACTATACGTGCAGTGCTTTTTGTCGATGTGTCCGCTCGGAGATCTATATAACCGCTTGATGGATGGTAGGTGCAGTTGATGCACTTTCGCTTACTCTCGTCCTTTTTTATTTTCCGTCAGGGATCTTCGCCGACTGCAGAGCACGGGAGATGTCGTGTGTATCCACATGTAGATGTAGGGCTCAGCGACCCGATGCTCTTTCGAGGGTAGTTTGATGAGTTCGCAACGGAGGCGCGTTTAGCAACTAATGTGATGGACGATTTTTCCTTTTTGCTGGCTCATGAAAGAAGTACATTCATTTTTTTTTTTTTTTTTTTTAATTGTTCAAGTTGAAATGTGTGCGTGTCATCAGTTGGATCTTAGGACTTGAAGGAAAAATTTTATTCTTAAAAATAATTATGTAAAGGAGTGTAAGATGGTGTAACGGTTGACAAATACAAAAAATTTATTGTACAAACATTTCATTTTGAAAAGCATTATCGTAAAAGTCTTGACGAAAAATTTGATTTTTACAACGTGTCTTACTATTTTTTATAAGCGATTAATACCACTAACAAGAATGGATTACTGATTGATTTAATTGGAATTTTATGATGATCAATGATAACAACGTGACCTCATCAGATGGCTGACTTATGGAATATATTTGTTTATGACTTTATGTGATTTCTTTCCAAATGTGAACGATATTGGCATTATTATTTATGAGTATAATATTGAAAAATTATTCTATAAAATCGGAAAGTGGCATAATTTCTAAGGATAGATACATGCACACCCAAATGCGAGTTCAGAATATTTAAAGCACGCAAGGAAACCTCTTTTTTGGCAATGTTTCTCGCACTGCTTTTTTTCCGCTGGACCGCAATCATTTGGTGCTAAAAAAATTATTTTTACAATTTAGTCTTACATAAAATCTTTAAATTCATCTTAAACGGACTCAAGCATTCATTTTTAACTTTAATCAATTACTCCAACTCATTTAAAAAATATATTATGGCAAACATCTTTACAGGGTACAAAGGACTGAAGGATACTTCGTCATCGCCCTGACTTGATATACGAAAAAAATAATCAAGTATACGTAAATCGACGTATTGGTGAAAGAAATCATTAACTTAAAATTGCCTATAAGAAAGTACTAGCTCATGTTCAATCTGAACTTGAGTTAATGCTCTTTTTGAAAAGAAATTTTTAGTTAGCGCTTCCTTTGACCAAGGTGTCGATGTACTTATAAGTTTCAAGATCCCGTGTCGGATCTTTTTTTGCCACTTAAATAGCCATTTTTTCCTACCTTAGGAGTTATTGGAGGTAAGGTATGCCCTCGATAGGAAAAACAGTGTTTGGCACACAAGTGCCATCCATCCGGGGCTACCTTACGGTCCGCAATATAGCCCCGGTAGCGATGGCACTTTTGTGACAAAATTAACCATTTTTTAAAAGAGTTCACTACTTCTCATTAACTCTTTAACAAAGGATCCTACAAATTTGTTTGTTTAAAAAAATTACTAACTGTCAGTAGATCGTAGATTTCCACATTTGCATTCGAATGCATTGTCATATCTGTAGCACAATGATTCCCGTTTACGACAAACTTCATCACATTTATCATGTTCCCCACTATCACAGTAACTTGAAGCTGTAAAATTATTTTTTTTTAATGGATTACTCGGATAACGAGTATGATACCTTAAATAATTTCAAACTAATTCAGGCAGTTGCGTGGAATTTTAGTCGATTATTTATTCCTCGTCAATAAATATATCCATTGAAATGGTCAAAATGATTAGCAATTTAAATATATATTTAGCACTCGAATAAGTATTCATTGCTTATAAAACCTACATGATTTGTAATGATCAAAAAAATCTATAAGTATTGATCTTAAGACTGATTTCAACTCGAAAAATCTTTTATTATTGTTATTCTTATTAATTAATTTTTTTTTTAATGAGAAAAAAAAACAAAACTGAGCCCCAGAGCACAGGAAGTGTACTTTAGCGGAGCTCTTTGCCATCAGAATAAAACTATATTTCAAGAATTCAGACGACTCGAATGTACGGTAATAAACTTCAGTTTATTTTAAAACTCTACAAATCAATATAAATGCATAAACGTTTACTTACTTGAGAGAGAAGCGCAGATGCACATAGAAAGTATGAGAAGGGCGAATAAACGCTGCATGTTTAATGTGTTATTGTGTGTATTCTACAGTAATACTTCTATTTTAATAGAAAGTTGATACAACTTATTTAATGCGACTCGATAAATTTTTTTTCCAATACGAGGACTTGGGGAAGACTTTCCGATCTTTTATACACGAGTACATCATTTTAAATTAACATTAATTTACATTTAAATTTAAATTGTTCTACGCCGTTATGTACAAATATTAAATGAATAGTAAATGGAATATAATTAACTGTTTGTGAAGTAATTGTCGTTATTTGAGGTGCCACAAATATGTCTGGATTAAAAAACGAATATTTTATTCAAACCAAACCAAACATCTCATTGACTTTTTAAATACATATTGGAAGAACTTTTAATTGAGCCGAACAGCTGTTTTCTTTACTTGTGTGCTTAACTAGTTAAATACAAATTTTTTTTTTAATTCAATCAGAAATAAAGAAGAAGCATCTGTTTGATTATATCATTTAGTACTGTGTCGCTTTGTTCAAAATTATAAACTCATGTAATAGTCTTAATAAAGCAAAAAAATTACGTTGCAAACAATTACAAACGTGCACTTTTCTGGTATAAAAAAAAAAGTTAATTAATGTTCTTGTTAACTTTTGAAACTTATCTTATGATGTAATTACTATTGGGTAATAAATGATATGCACTGCTTTATTTAATTTATTTTAAATTTAGTTTGAATATATTTTCTACAATTTTAAAACAGAAGCAGCTGGCCAAACAACAGTTACAATCGAGACAATTATCATTTTTCTTTAGTTTTGTTGAAAAAAGTTTAAAAATTAGTTTAATAACGTAAAATCCCACATATTTACATAACAATGTACGTTGTAAACGCACACTATACAATCGGATCTACTATATATTTATATATATAACTTACATAAACCTAATCATACTTGAAAGGGGCTTTTCTCGCCTATCAGTAGACTGTTACTAAACTAAATAGTTTTTTACAGTTTGACGTTATTTTGGCTTTGATGTTTACTATGTCTATTCATGAGTAAATAGACTCTAGTTGGTTATCTGTGTCTGAGGTTTTTCCGTGAAAAAGGGTAATCAATGAAATGTTTCGGATTTGGTACATGGAATATGACAAGTACTTAAAAAAAAAAAAAATTTCTCCCTTAAGTAGGTTTGGGAGAAAATTTCAAAATACAGAAACGTGCCAAAAAAAATGTATGTTATATTTGAGCATGTTAGGAGTGCACATGAATTTTTTTAGATTTTTCACCAGAGGAAATTTTTGAGAAAAAAATTATGAAATATTGACAGTTTAACACGGTCTCTTACGAGAGAGCAAGGTTAGGTTTGCCTTTTAATTGAAATTAAGGTATATTCTAAATATGTTGGAATAAAAAAAAATTTTTTCATAGACAACTTGGTACAAAAGGANAAAAAAAAAAAAAAAAAAAAAAAAAAAAAAAAAAAAAAAAAAAAAGCTGCAAACCTATATAATATCCACACTCGCGGGCGCGCGTAATAAAAAGCCGCACAGTAATATAACACATACGGGCCGGAAATTCGGGTCATTGAGAAAGCAGAGAAAGAGGGGGCCCATGTAATCCACGAGATATATATAGATACACATCGCGGAAGTTCGCTTCGCTCATACATACACACCCGCGTAATAATGATAATGATTCGAGATCGCGTGAGCGAAAGACACATCATTGCGCGAAAAGAAAAGAAAAAAAAAGGCCCTCGAGGCTCGCGCGGAGAAAGGCCCCTCTCTATAGTGACACCCTTTTCTCCTCCCCTCGCGAGCCATTTCACTTTAAAGATGATCATTTTGTATACCTATACATATGTATATATATATATATATATACTTGTAACAAAACGCATCCATCAAATGATTTCGCGGCGTATGTATACGTACGACACGTATACTTGCGTGTGTACGGCTCGAGAGACTTTCACGCAAGCGGAGGCTGCAGGCTTTGGCGCGGAAACCTATATTTATATTATATACATGTGTATACGTGCACCCGTATTTTATACACGAGCCATAAGCAAAAGTCTCGTACGTATTAGAAAAGCCGATGTTGGAGTTCAGACGTTCACCGCGAGGTACAGCTTGCGATTTTAGCGCTATACTGCACGTGTACATATAAATATGTACCCTTCTCTTTTTTCCCTCCTTCCCTGCTCCACCTCTTTTGTATATGTATACGTAGGTACATTGGGTGTGTTTATTTAATACGTGTGTATGCCCCTTCTGGGTTATATACTCGCGCATCTCGTCAAGGGGTCATTTCGTACAGGAAGGGCCGATCAATAGTATGCCCACAGCGTCTTTTTCGCAAAAAATACTAAACGTCGGTCACATGTATACGAAAAGTGACAGGTACAGCAGTTGTATGGTCTCTTACGAGAGAGCAAGGTTAGGTTTGCCTTTTAATTGAAATTAAGGTATATTCTAAATATGTTGGAATAAAAAAAAATTTTTTCATAGACAACTTGGTACAAAAGGAAGATGCTCAACAAAAAAAATCAAGCCTTGCCAGGCATTTTTTTCAAAAATATAAGCAGTTACAGTCGTACAGTTTCAAGTTTGTTGAGTGCAAGAGGAAAAAGGTGCGCGGGCAAGGGGGCCCATATGAGCGGGCAGGGGGGACTCCCCGTTCCTCGACTCTCTGAATGATACTGTCGAACCTCCTTAACTGAGACTATGAAGTGTGTAATTTAAAAGAAAATTTGTTAAATTTGTTACAGTCCTGAAAAGGTCTCATAATTGGGAGACAAAGTATAGACTAATAATTAATAAAGAAGTTTTGCTCAAAAACGAAAGTTGTCAAGTCAGTTATTCGGTGTTCTTTTTACAAAAATATTAATTAATTTGAGAGTAAGATGGGAGATCATCGTCAAAACCGTACAACGCCTGATTTTTGTTTAACTGTTCAGCTTTGTATTGCAGCTGATAAACAGTGCAGAAAAATTACTAAAGTTTACTTATCAAATATGTAAATTCTAACCAGTTATGAAATTTCTTATTAACTTTCGTCATGACCAACTCTACCACCGCCAGTACATGAAACATCAAACATGTTGCGATAAATATTTCTAAAACGAAAATTTTGCATTATTTTTCCAACCAGTATAAATCGTAGAAAAGAAAAGTTTGTAAAATAGCCGCAAACCGCACTTATAGTTATATACACGCCGATGATGTGTATACCAAATGCAATAGTCGTTCGAGAAAGTTGGAAAAAGTCCCGAGAATCCAAAGAAGAAAATAGAAACTTCTTCGGCAGAATTTTTCTTTTTTTTTTTTATTTCAACGAGCAGCAGTGCATAGTGTCGACGAGGGGAAAACAATAATCGTCACGGGCAGAAAAAACGAAAAGAAAAGCTGCAGCCAATAACCCAGCAGTCGTCATTTCACCCGACCAGAGAAGGAAAGCGAGAGTCAACTTCACGTACATACCTATATATATATATATATACACGTCCGCCGAGCGCACAAACGTCGATACATAAAAAGAAGCAATCATCTCTGATGGCCGTTGAAAGGCCCGCACTTGCCGGTAAAAACGTATTTAACCAGGTATGGCCGCTGTGGCACAAAGGGCAACTCGGAGGGGTGTAAAAAGCCGCGGAGGTGCATTCTTTTGTTCGACTGCGCATGTATAACAGCGGCGATAATGAAACTCATCCGTACAAGAACAACAAAAAAATGATAATAACAATAATAAAATAAATAACTCGACGGCCCTTATGTGTGTTTACAGCTCGCGAGAGAGATCATCGCCCCGTAATGTACCCTTAATTGCCAGGGCTGTAACGAGGATTGCGCGTACACACGCCTTCTCTCCTACGTACAGGACGATCGTGCGCACGTCTCATTAAACGTGCCACTGGCAATGCCTCCTGCGTGTACATTAGCGAGGATGAAAATCGCTTTTAATAAAGATTCGAGAGGGGGGTACATTGCATGCATATGGCTCATCTCGAGGGGGTTATTCACGCAGGTATAATGAATCAAGCGGACGATGATGATGATGAACGCTGTGATGGATTTCCAAGAGGGATTTTTTTTTTTTTTTTTTTCAGCTCTGATGGCGGTGCGTGTAAATTAAGACGCAGAAAGTTTGAGTTACGACAGGGTATAAGGGAGGGTTATTGGCCAAAAAAAAAAAAATAAAGTCGGTGCATCGGGTTGGCATTTTCTTTTTTATCGCTCTTTAAAATTTATATGTTCGCGCACCGCAGTTTTTGGAGAAACTTTTACGCGAGAGGGTATGATACAACATTCCGATGTTTATTGTTTAGGCACGAAAAAGAAGGCTGTAAAAATATGGCTTTATGATTTCGACTCGGTGCTTATAAAAAAAAAAAAAATATCGAGATTCCAGACACGCCGTTGCTCGCTGCTTCCACATACGGCCACACATGTAGTAGGCAAGACCACTCGTCGCGCATTCTCCGATTGTTTGCTCCACATTTTTTTTTTTTTTTTTTTTCCCTCCACACATACAAAGCCTCTCCGTATGGACGACACTGTCGCGCGTAGGTACGACGTGTTTATAAACGGAGCCGCGTCTTTTACGTCGATCCTCCGTGTACGCGCCGTAGAAGAAACCGACGGCAAAAAAGAAAAAAAATAAAGATGGGCGGAGAGCCTTGAAATTGCTGCCGTGCAGTAGCATCGGCGTCCCTCCGTGGAGTAAAATCCGCGCAAGCAACGACCGACCTTCTTTCCGCGTAACTCGCTGCTGATGTGAAGTAATACTTGTACACCGGCGCGCGCTAAACCGAGAGCCCGTACCAGTCGACCCTGGATCGCTCAAGACTGAAGGAGCCTCTTGCGAACATCTCAGGCCGTGAAAGGCGGCTTTTTTTTCATTCATTTTGCATTATATGTACACTGGCGCGTGCTCGAAATCGTTAACGCGAAACTGCAATTCACTCCGTGTACGCAGCTCTCAGGGGAGGAATCCGAGTTTTGTTTGACCGATGATGATGGCGTCGGCGATGTTTGTTTATGTAGGACAATTTTCTTTTTTGTTCCTTAAGTTAATCGTGTGTGTTTGCCCAAGAAGAAAATATTGTTGCATAAATGAAGAAAAAAAAAAAAAGAGCG